TATCCCACTGTATTGTGGAGCACTTGCCACTGTGGAGAAATGTACAGTAACTGGCATGTGCATCTCTCTGTCCCCTAATGAAAAATATGGCTGGATGATCAGCAGGGAGATAAATATATACCGTCAGATTTAGTTGTAGACCAAAGTCACGGATACTTTGATGTTATCATTGTTTATGAATACACAGAAAATTTATTGCATGTAAAATTTAGGATTCCTATGGTAAAATAAAAAGATATTGTATTACTATTGTCTTAAAGATTAATGAGGCAAAAAGAACTCTGCATACAGGGAGAGCAGTCATTGTTTTTCTTACTAACATATTTGAAGAATATGTTCTATATGATATTTCTAATATTTTAGCATTTCTGACTTTACATATCACATTGTGGTAAATAGAACGATAAATATCTACTGAAAAGTAAATTGTTTTAAAGTACAATAACATTTTCCTATTATTTTTGCCATACTTTAATTTTAATTCACACAATCTATTTGACATATTTTACACATGTAAAATATCTTTACTTTGTGCAGAAAAGGAGTTAATACTGATGAAGTTTTGCTTACTTTGGAGTAATTTAAATGTATTCCTAAAGTATTGTCATACAAATTAGGAAACAAATATCCCACACTCACTTAATTTTTTTATGCTATGAAAGAAAATTACTAACCTATAATAAAGCTTTCTTGACTTACCTAGCCTGAAACCTAAGTACTTAGTAAGCAGAAACCCTGCAATCTATTCTATTATGCAGAGGAATTAAAAAAATTATTGTATCTTACTTATTTTGTTAGCAAGAATTTGAGATAGAGAAACTTAAATATGCAAAGAAAAACTCCCTGATAACTGTGCAACACAAATTGACTTATATTAAAGGTTTATATCTTTACTTCAACTATAGAAGAAAAAGCCTAATCTTAGATTTTAATAATCATTTAAAAATCATCATTATTTATTACAAATTGGGCAAAATGAATTTAAAGTCCTGCATTTCAATGTCCTGGCATTTTATGGAATGCTAAATGAATATGGAAGCATTGTAATTTACATTTCTTTTCATGTGTGCATATGTTGGTGATATTTTTAATGCTATGATTTTGTAATGCTTTATCTTAATTCCAAAAGGTATGAAGTGGGGCTGGGAAGGTGGCTCAGTGGTAGAGCGCTTACCTTGCATTCCTGAGGCCCTGGGTTTGATTCCTTAGCACCAAATAAGCAAAAAGAAAAAAGCCGCAAGAGGCACTGTGGCTCAAGTGGTAGAGCGCTAGCCTTGAGCTGAAGAGCTGAGGGACAGCGCCCAGACCCAGAATACAGGTCCCACGACCGGACCCCCCCCCCCCAAAAAAAAAGGTATGAAGTTCCTTGTTTTCCAGCTGAATAAACTTTGAATAAACTTAGATAATAAAATTTACTGCATATTATTTCATTGTTTAAGGTTGTGAACTACGGTAAACATATAAGTTGTTTTCAAATGAATAAAATAAAAGATCTATGTGTGACCTTTCTTATTCTTTTATTTTGAATCACATTCTTCTATATTAAAACCACCGTGTTTCATCTTAATCTATGTATGTATGAAAATCTGGTCTTATTTATGTATTTATGTAAATTAATTATTGTATTAAATAGTTATACATAGGTTACAATTCCATGTCAGTTCAATAATACAATGCACAGTGATATCCGTTCCATCGTTTCTTCCTTTCCGTGCCTACCCTCAAGTTACACAGTTGAGCTTTTATACAACGTATATACTGTGCTTTCTCACCTTTCCTCCCTCTTTTTGCATGCCCCTCCATCATTGCCCTTTCTTCGCAAACCTGGCCTTTCATCTGTTGGTTCTGAAGTTGTGTTAGATTATAATAAGGCAGAGCCTCCCTTAATGTTCTGTTAATGCAGCCAAAGAATATAGGAGAGAGAGATAAATACTTTTAATTTGTACCTGTACCTAGATATTAGTGTGGATTGGTCTATTTCTTAATGGAGTAGGAAATTTGAAAAGCAACAACAACAACAAACTTTTCCTTTTAACTTTTTCCTTTTAACTTTCATCTTCAGTCAGAAACAGTCCTTGGGGCCCATCCAGTCCTTGTAACAGACCGCTTTGTCTTTCCTTTTTCCTTTGTTACTTGCCTTACATTGTAGTATGGAGAGTGCTCAGCACCAATGTTAGCATGTCCTTAGAGATTTGGCAATCAGATAATTAGGGAAGAAACTGGGAGTTTTTCAAGAGATTTTCTTACAGATTTAAGTATTCTTGGAATCTCCTAGAATTAAGATAAAATGTTAAATTAGGTGTTAGATAGTGACTTTTATTGTCCTGCACATAGACTCAATCAGTTGTTGTTACTAAATATTTTCATTACTCCAAAGCAGAGAGACTTTTTTTTCCCTCTCAGTTTTTTCAAGTGAAGTGGGAACTCATGTAGCTAGATTAACTCAGCATTACAGTAGGATTAATTTTTTAATAGAATGTAAAATGCTTTGAAGTTGTTATCCATTTTATTATTGAGTAGCTTTTATGTAAAGCTGTGCTACATGGTTTGATTTATATTTGAAGTGTGTATTTTTGATGTCCATATAGTTATATTTTTTCCCATGAAGTTTTAACATTTTTTTTCTTGGAGCACTGAAAGATTTCAAGTCTATTTATAGAAATAATGGTTATAATTTAGTCTGTTTTCATCTACTATGTATGTATAGTCTTGTTCTGACTTTTGTGATCATTATCAATAAATTAGGCTTTTGTCTTTATTATAACATGTTGTCAACTCGAAACTTAAGCAAGAAATTTACACTTTGCATTTGAGTCAGTAAACATCAGTTTAAGCAGAATGAATGTATGAAAGGTTTAAAAGCAAAGGAAAAAAGTTAGGTAGTGTATGAAAGATTTAATTTTTTTCCTCATTCATAATCTAATGTCATGTTAATGTTTCTCAGAAATTCAAACATAATTTGAGGAAAAAAGTATTCTCTTATGGGCATATCTTTGAAGATTTTTTGGCTTAACTCTTATTCTTAGTTTTCTCTTTTTTGAGATTTTTATAGAACAAAATATATGCCTCATGTCTGACTTTGAAACAAAAATATCAGACCATTACACTACAGATGATTACATACAATAAACATCTGAATAATCATGTAGCCCTACTGGAAGGTCTCCCAGAACCTGGTTTTGAGACAAAGGTGATCACTTGTTAAAGCCTAAGGAATGAGCAGGAAAGAATGGAATTAAGACACAAGGAAGACAGGTAGGCAAGAAAGGAGAAAGGAAGAAAGAAGTTAGGGAAGAGGCAGAAAGCTTCCATTTTATAACAGACTTTGTATTTAAAAAGAATTTGTTTCTCTGATACCCAGCTAGTATGGTAGTTCTTCATGACCCAGATCTGGACTGTATCCAATCCTTGATCAATCATGTCACAAATATTGTTTTTCCCCAATACTTTTTCTTTCTTTCTTTTTTTTTTTTGTTGGTCATGAGGCTTGAACTCTGGGCCTGGGTGCTGTCCCTCAGCTCTTCAGCTCAAGGCTAGCACTCTATCACTTGAGCCACAGTGCCACTTCCGGTTTTCTTAGTGGTTTATTGGAGATATGAGTCACAAGGACTTTCCTGCCTGGGCTGGCTTTGAACCTCGATTCTCAGATCTCAGCCTTCTGAGTAGCCAGGATTACAGGTGTCTCTAACATGCAATACTCTTCTCAGTTCTTAAGCAGTTATCACTGCCTTTTACTAAAGCTTATCTGGCTTTTAAAGCCATGTAGAGACATCTTGATCTGACTGTTATTGTGAAAAACAAAGCTGGATGGAAAAAAAGAAGGAAAAAATGCTAAAGAGAGAGTTGAAAGCAAGAAAGCATTTGGATCTGGAGTAACTGTTTTTAATATAATTTTAAAAGAATATTACCAGAATTTTGACACTTGGAATGCAAAATTTAAGAAGAGTATGCTTTACACTTAGGAGTTAGTATTTAAATCTGCTTTCCCTTTTGAGAATGTGCACTATTTGTTAAGATTTGAGTCTTAAAAGTATATAAGCAAATAGTTGTAAGCATTAGTCCCTGTTGCAACACCATTTGAAAAGAAAGAAAAAGAACTCATAGAGAAAATTTTGGTAATTATTAGAACATTCTAGTGTGTGGAGCTCTGTAACCTCTATGAATATTTATAGAAACTAATTACTTCATATAAGCTAAGATGTTATTTAGAATGCAATATGGTGAATAATTTTTAAATAAATATTAATAAAATTATGCATTATTTTTTGTATAAAACTTGTAGCAGTTTTCACTACTAGGAGAAAGAACATCTTGATTTTTAAAAAATTTTGTTTTGCTCTAAATAAATATTTTACAAAAGCTGGGTTTCTTTTTAAGAACTAAAAAAGTAAGTAGTAATGGGTTGATGGGCAAGGTCTACTATGATTCTGTGCACATTTTGCTTGGATTTAAAAACTCATCTGAATTAAAAGGAATGTCATCTGAACTTCAAATAGGAAAGAGACTTCTTTTCTGTCCCTTCAGACTAAAAAATGATAAATGCTGATTAAATATTGAAAAGTTTATTGAACATTATCCTTTTTACCCCTGTGCAGTAACTTAAATTATTTTCTCAGAAAATAAACTCAGTTGTATTTTGTAATAGAGTAATACAGTTGTCTATATACCAGAGTCAAAGCAACAACAACAGAAATCGCTCTCTGCATTTTAAAAGATTGTTTATTATCTTTCAGTAGTTGTACAATGCAGGTTCCATTTTATGAATGCAGTTTATGAACTAAATGCGCCTTGGTCAGTGTCACCCCCTCCAACATTCTCACCTCCCTCGGCTCGCTCCTTCCCTTCTCTAATTTTGTGGTATTTGCAATGACTTTTTGACCGCATTCTTCTTCTCCCCCCCATTCATCTATACATTTTTAAGTGAGAGAATTTCTCCGTAATCTCACTTTCTGAATGTATTATACTCACCGATTACAATACTTACTTTTCTATTTTAATAGATTCCTCCTGCATGGAAAAACTACTTTCAAAAGATTGGAAGGAAAAAATGGAAAGATTAAATACCAGTGAACTTCTTGGAGACATTAAAGGTACAATATAAAGAATGCCACATATGTTGATGCACAGATGTTAATTTGTATAATTATATATTTGTTGATCTCTATACAACACTAAATTCTTACCTATAACACTTGGTTGAATATGAGGGATAGATGTATAACATGCCCTTGAACTAAATCCATTGCAGTGCTTACAGAAAGAAATATCTATCTTCTCTTGTTCATTCTATAAATATATGATTATAGTTTATACTGTCTCATGAATTTACTTGACCCAATGTATGACAAAAATAAGTAAAAAATGTACAGCGATTTAAAGATATTCTTAGTTTTTCTTTTAATAATAACAACAACAATAATAATAGCTTACCATGAATAATGAATACCAGGATAATTTGAATTTCCTCTGATCAAAAGAGGTTACCTGCCAGGCCTTTAAAAAAGTTTATGGAGTATACTGTATGTGATGATTTATGGGTAAACTCTGAGGCTCCTTGCCTCAGTTTACATTTTGGCCATGCCACTTACTACATAAGTAGCAAACAATTTTTCTGTTTTATATCTCTTATCACTAAAATGAACATAATAGTACTTAGTTCATAGGCTCATTAAGAGATTTAATAAAGCTAAAGTTCTTAGAACTACATGTTTGATACTTAAAAAGGTACTCATGAGTGACAGAAATATATGATGTACTAGTTGTAGTATTAATATGGCTGTAAAATCAGAGATTGATTGATCTCAAACAGACTTGATAGAACTTAGCATTTCATGATCTCTGCCTCAGAAAAACCTCTTTACATTTTTAAATTAATCAATTATTTAATTTAGTTTTGCCCAGGCAAGGGCTGGGCAATCACTATTCCGCCACATCTCTAGCCTACATATGTCTACATGTTAAGAAGTGGGCAATCTATTTCACAATTAAGATAACCAGTAAGAAACGATATTTCATAATTATTCAAACTCTCCCTTGTTGACTCATGAAGACAAAGTACTCTGCTTCTAGTTTTCTGAATAAAGACCCAAATTTATAGTCATTTGTTCTGTCAATAAATACTCTTTATTTACTCTAATAATTTGAGAATTTAATTACATCAGCTTTCTGAATTATCAAACCATTTACGTAAATCTTCCTATTGGTTGTGGATAATATCTCAGTTAAGTCACAATTTGGCAATAAGAATCTCATGAAAATGTTATTTTGGTCTTACTACAGAAAATTGGGTAATATTCAGGGTATGTTCAACTTAAATGAAGAGAAAAAGAAGTCATCCTTTTGCTGATGAATAATTAATAATTCATTACATTAACTAGTACAGTGTCAAAATCAAGTGAAAATTGAATATTACTTAGAATTTCAGTGCTTCTGTTTTGTACCCATAAAGGCCATTTGCTATTTTTGAAAAAAAAAATCCCTCAACTTATAACTGACGGGTAGAAAGAAAGTCATTAGTGACATATTCTCTATCCAGCTGCAATAACATGGTGTGTGCTACTTCGCACGTCATTCTGTGTTTTCCTCCCTTTCCAAAGTCACTGGTTTTATAACACAGAACAGAAATGGTTTATGCAAAGGCAAGCTTTGCCAGCAGGAATGATAGGGGTCTTGCTTTCTCTTAGTAATGTAGAAGCTAACGTTTTTAATCTTATGACTCAACATCGAATTTTTTACTTCAGGGTATATTTCCCCACATGTGTCTCATCATTTTTTATATTTAATTTTAATTATGAATGTCAAATCCAAACAAATGTATATCTCTTATATGCTCAAAATGCATAAAGTAAACCACATGCAAAATTATACTTTCCAATTCTTTTGTTTTTCTTTTTCTTCCCTGGGTTCTTTATGTGATACACAAACTTTTATTTGTGTGCTATTCTGAATTTTATGTTCATTAAAGATAACAAAGATAATATTCACATTGAATTTCCCATTTTAACATTCTATATTTTTGTCTCTTCCATTCTAGTACTTTGTCATCATATATATTATATTGAATTATACCAATGAAAAATTTAGCTAAAGTGATAGGCAAATAGTTTGATTTAAACACTTTTAAACCTTTTCGTTTTAAATTAGATAAGGCCAATTATTATTTATTATTATTTATTTTATTTATGGTTATTGTAAAGACGATGTACAGAGGGGTTACAATTATGAAAGTAAGATAAAGAGTACATTTCTTTTTCAACAATATCACCCCTTCCCTTAATCTCCCCTGGCTTTTCTCTCCCATCCCCATCCACAAGTGGTATAGTTCATTTTTAACATGGTGTCTAGTGAGTACCACTGCTGCATTTATTCACGCTTTGTCTCACCATTTTTGTTGCACCCCCCAATCCTCCCAAAGACAGATGAATGAATGAACAAGACAAAAGAAAAGAAAAGAAAACAAAAACAGCAACAAAGAAAAAATCCCTCTTGTGTATATTTCCTGGAGTTCCTTTTGATAAATATTATTTTATATGATGACATAGCTATTGTGCCATTGTGATCCTCTCCTAAGAATATCCTTCTTTGGTCTCATTCTGGTTGAATGGATAAGGTCAATTTATCCATGCTTGATAGGAAATATACTCATTACCTTACTCATGTAACTGTAACCCTTCTGTACAGTATTTTTACAATAACATATATAAGAAAAAAAAGAAAAAAGTACTATCTTTATTCCAAAATCTAAAGCAATCTATTCACTTAAGGTGTTTCAGCATTTGATATTGCCTGATTACAAAATACATACATTTATTTGTAAAACGAATGAATGAGTATATATGTTAAAATCTTCTCATAAAATTAGTATCAACTTTTTACTATTCTTCATCTTTCTTTCTACTTAATGATATTCTATAGATTTCCCTGAAGAGTGAACCCAAGGCCTTGAACATGCTAGGCAACCATTCTATCTCTGAGTCACACCCCCTACCCCTCAATTATTATTTTTGCAGAAAATATGGCATAAAATAAAGCTTTCCATAATTTAACTGAGTCTTTTATTCAACCTTTAGTTTGGTCATTTTTTCCTTTAAATGACTTGTCTAGTTTTTACTAGTTTGTAGGAATGCTTAATACATATATTTTAACAGTATTAAACTCTGTCAATTATGTTGTATTTCATCATTTGCTTGATTTCATAATGCTTTCCATCCCCTTTAAAATACTTCCTTCTGTAAGGAGTTTGCTTCAAAGGGCTTCTCCCTCTCTGAGATTAGATAATACTTTTCCATATTTTCTTCTATTTAGTTGGCTATATTTTAAAGTATTTAACTCTTTATTTTTCTAAACTAATGGTAATAGAGGAATAACTTAATTTTTCTCAAGCAGTAATCAAATATTTTTGCACTGATCATTAAATCATTCATATCTCCTCTGATTTGAAGTAGTATCTTTTATTTATTCATTTAATAATGCTAACAGCAAAATTTATTTTATTGAAAGCTGTCTTCTGAAAACAGATCCTGTAAAAGGTATTAGACACATTGCATGTATTCTATGTAAAACTACGTAAATGGAAACAAAAAAGGATATTAAACATGATCTCTCATCATTACATAGAATGAAGTAATATCTTTTTATTTTATTGATCTATCTAAACTTTCATTAGTACTATGATATATTAAAATTTTAACTTTATACTATATTTTATAATGCTTTTTATAATTTTTACTTAAGATATTTCATAATATTTACATATCTTGGACTTTTCATCATAAGTTAAAATCCCAAAGTAATTCTTCAAAGATTACTTTTTGTACAACACTACAAGATAAACTGACATGATTATAAAACTGAATATTTCCATTAATAATTATTTATTTAATACTTATATGTTTCTCAAAAATGTTTTGTTTATAAAATATACTCCATATACTTCCTTTGGTGTTTTATTCATAACACATGAGATATACTTCATTTTATTTTTTTGTTAGTATATTTAGAGATTCTTATAATTTTTGTCTATTTATTTCACTGTTTTATTGTTAGAATTTTCTTCTTCATCAGCCTTTCTAGCTCTAACCTTATTTCAATTGATACATCTTTATCCTCTTTCCAAATTACATTGCCTAGAATGTTAAAAATATTACTAAGTAGTAATAGTTAACAGATATTTTTGCCTAGTTTTTATTTTATGATATTTCCTGTACTATTTCATGTTAGATCTTCTGTTTACTGTGGATTTATCATTTAAAAATATTCTACTCTATTAAGAGTTTCCACGAGATACTGCATTTTAGTTTATAGCATGCCGTATTGGTTTTGTTCTTTTAAATTCATTCTTAAAATCAACACTAACTAGTCATGGAATAGCCTCATTTTAATATACTGTATAGTTTTGTTTGCTCATATTATAGTTATTATTTTTGTATCTGTAATGGGATTAATTTGTGTTTTTCTTTATTTGTACTGTCTTTGTTAATTTTTAGTTCTAAAGTTCATGCTGGAATTGGGTAACTTTTCCTCCTCTCTTAGGCAATGTAAAATAAAAACACCTGGGCTTGGAATTTTCTTTGGAGATAATTGTTTTGTTTTGTTTTGTTACATTTTATACTCCTCTATAAGTTAGTTTTGCCATAGCATATTTTTTTATAAAAATGTCTATTTCTAATATTTTCAAATGTTAGTGTTAATTTTATGTGCAATAGTAAATCTACAGTTTTAACTCATATTTATTTGCTGTTCTATATTTGACTTTTAGTTTTACATATTTTTGACCTCCCTCAATAAGCATCCAATTGCTGGATTTATATGTTGACTTTGCTGCTTTTCAGTATGCCAATTAATCTTGCTTTAATTTTTATTATTTCTTTCCTCCTTATTTTTCATATGCTTTTTCTTTTGTCTATTTTAATATTCACTACCTATAATAAAGGCACTTTTGAACAGGTGCATGTCTCTAGAAATGGCTTCATATGCCCTACCAGTTCAATTTTAGAATTCTTTTTAAATTTTATTTTATTTTATTTTATTTTTTGGTCCAGTCGTGGGGCTTGAACTCTGGGCCTGGGCACTGTCCCTCAGCTCTTCAGCT